GCAGGAAAACAGCAGTTTGGTTCCATTTCTCTGGGGAAAGATGCCTGAGTCAGCCCTGCTGTGATGTGTCCCATTGAGCCTAGATGCCCTAGGCTCATTCGCTGTTTTGACTGGACAACTTTTGTACTCCTTTGGTGCTGAGACAGAAGTAGGGCTAATGAGCTGTTTGATAACCCACCGATTATTACTTTTCCCCCCTCCCTGAAAAATATAACAAGAAAGAGGCACTCACCTTGACAATTCCAACAATGCCAGGCTCTTTACAGTTACTGTGGTAGAAGAAGGCCTGCTGCCCAAGTTTCATGGCTCTCAGGAAATTCCTTGCCTGTCAGGTGGAAATGAGAGACTGAGCTCTTTTTATTATCTCTCAGGGTTTCATTATAAGCAGCTAGGAACAAGAACTAACAACAAGGGAGCTATACATGCTTCAGAGCTACTCAGATGAGGTTTCCTACAGTTGTCATACAGATGTTTTATGCTGTAATGAAATGAAGTAAAAACAAGGCTAAAGAGCAAGATCCTGTTGGCTAAAAAGTACACGGGAATTTAACAGCTCAGCCCTCCTCGTTCAGAGGTAGTGGAAGACTTAAGTTAGCTGTCAGCAAACAAGCAGCAGAATAGGTCATATATAGGGGGGAAGCATATATAGTAGGGGGATCATATGTGGATTTCCTTTGCAGAGAGACCTGAGAACATAAGTGTACACTGACAAGGCATAGTTTGGGTATTACAGGCTTGCTAATTTTTATTATTATTTTTTTTTAAGCCTATTATTATTAGGCTTGCTAAAAGGTGTCAAGGGAAGCAAAGGCTGGTCTAAGCTAAAGACCAAGCTAAAGAAAAACTGGATGATTTAACAGAATATTACCTGAATCTACTTTTGACCTAGAGGCAATTAAGCAGGTGTTTTGACTTCTGACAAAATACAGCTGTAAAAGCTGGCACAGTGCCTCAAAAGGAAATACTTCAGGCAAAGGGAACGAGTTATCTGTGGGGACAGCCACCTTTTTTCTAGTGCTCTTTCAGTGATTCCATCTTTGATGCATGCTCCTTACCTGGTAGTTTCTTACTCCATCCCAAAAGGTTGTCTGATTGGGCTGAGCTTTCAAGTCATCAATGCTGAACTGCCAAATGGAAAGAAAATATAAGTTAAGTTCAGGTGGCAGTCTCATCTTTATTGTCTACATTATGCCTAAACATTTGTTCGTAGTAGCTTCTTCAACTATTTTTTTTGGTTCCCACAGGGGCTAAAAAAAAGCCTTTGTAAAAGAGGAACACTACAGCAGCGTAAAGGCAGCAGCTGAGATACATGCTGCCTTTGCTACCAACAGCTAAGCATCCCGAGAACCCAATTTCCTCTTTTATTACAAGTATCAAACCCCAAGATTGTCACCCTGGAAGAGAACAGCATTATGTCTTTCTGTTTCCAGGAAGACAGATGGTTTTTGAGAAGTAAAGACACAATAGTGTTAATATTACAATCAATCTGAATTGTTTGATCCTGTAACTCAGCGTTCAGGCACTAATGCTCTGGACAGTAGTGAAACTGCTTCTATACTTTGCTGAGCAAGGATGGGTGTCAGTGCTTACTTTCACATCCACTCCCTTCTCGAGTCTGCTCTCTGGTTCTGATTTCAGAAGCCAATGGCAGTATGTTATCTTGCTTTCCTCCCCACCGGAGTCGGCTTCTTTTGTCTTCTTCCAATTTTTCCATCCTGATTTGGAACTCCCAGCTGGAGGTTTTGTGGACTTCTCCTCTTCCTCCTTATCCGGAGTCTCCTCCTCGGTTTTGGTAATTTTAGCATCAGGTTCCTTTTTATCTTCAAAGAAACAACAAAAAGAGATCATTCAGATAAAACACATTTTATTTCTGATAAGGACTGGTGCTGAAACATTTTTAGTCATCCAAGCTAGTTTCACATACTGGCATTTGACTGTAACAGAAGTTTGGTGCACCCCAAATGCAACGAGTATGGTAGTAGCATTATGCACCAGTGTTTCTGAGTATTTCAACTTCGCATCTGAAATAAGGATTATTTTGTGTGTGTGTGTGTGTGTGTGGTTTGCACAAACCATAGTCATAGTTCATCATTAAAAAGCCAGGACAGACCACGTTGCCCACATGAAATGTAGCTGAATTTTTTTAATTAATTGCAGAGAAATCAATAACAGGGAACAAAGTTGATTTAGGTGAGTCTGGTGACTAACAAGAAAATGAGCATCCAAGCAAGCTATTTCAATTACTGCAGTAGGTGGAAACCTTAGATTAAGCCTCCGCTGTGCTACCTGTTCAGAGGAGGTCCATATCCCTGCTTGTCCAGGACCCAGACAGCAAAAAACAATTAAGAAGTGATTAAAGGGTAAGAGGGTGGTTATTTGCTGGAGTCGATTAAGCAGATGAGTGGCACAGATGAGCCAACTGTGCAATTTTTTCATCTTACACCTGAAACATCACATACTGTTGCCTCAAGTGCAAGGTCTTGGCTTTTTGTTTTTTTTTGCAGATGGTACCACATCAACTTCCTGCCACTACACTATGTATACTTTGACTGACCATCTCTACTACGTAGGATCTGAAAACTCTTCATAAGTGGGCATGAGTTACATTTCTTAACCACCTTGTCCTGAGAATACATCATTGTCCCTATTGTATATCTAGCAGACTTGTCTCAGTCACACATGGATGCTCAGCCCATTGTTACAGAGGAAATGCTGTCTTTAAGACGTGTGGCTTTGAAAGACAGACCGTTAAGATGACTGTCTGTAGTTTCACTATAGCTTGGAACCTCAAGCGAGAGATGCTAAATTAGTTCGGATGTCAGCACAGACCTGCTACTGCTCCTTTGTCTCTCTTTCTGCTTGGCCAAGGCATCTCTGGTCTCTTTGAATTATCTTCTCTTCACTGAGAAGCACCTGCTGAATGAGAGAAGAAGGAAGAATTACTGCTTATTCAGGCAAGCTGAAAAAAGTAGAGATATCTCAGACAGAGAACAGTAAAAGCTGTACAGTAAGTGGAGAGTAAATAAATTCCCTTCGTTGAGCTCAGCCATTTCCTCTATCAGTGCAAACGCTGGCACTGGTTGAGGACCACACCCTTGGCGCGTTGGAGGCAGGCAGGCCCTCCACAGCAGTGCTCTGATGGACATTAGCAGAAGGGCTGCTTTTCTCCACAGTGGCGCAGCTGTTGGAGACAAGTCCCGAAGGTGCTTGGCTAAGCAGCACCCCTCTCAGCCGTCCAAGAGGAGCTGTGATTTTAGAAATGGGAGAACAGCTTGCCTTCAGCTCAGTCCAGCCTCACACCAGGGGTGTCTGGCTCAGCTTGTTGCTCACAGAGATCATGCACGCAAAGGCCCTCTGGTTAAGGGAGCAAGCTGGCTGGTCCAACACCAGCCCCCTTCTGCCAGCAGCCCGTTCGAAGTTACTTGGCTCTAAGCTGGCCTCCTTCTGCCAGAGCGGGTGGCATCAACTTTTCCACCTTCTATGCCAAGCTTCTCCCCTCCCTCCCTGCCACCCACCCCAGGCTCCCCCTCACCGGCTCTGGCCGCAGCAGCCCCCTCGCCTCGGACTGGGGAGAAGGATGCTCTCGCCTTGCCCAAGCCTCAGCGCAGGAGGAGGAAACACACCGCCCCCCGCCCCGACAGGAGTCGGAAATGGGTGACCGTTATGCAAAAAATAAGGCATGGCCTGTGGGCTTGCCTCCTTCCCCGCAGCCACCGCGCGAGCGGGAGGCGCCGAGG